ATATGAAATAAATATAATATAATAAATATATAAGATAAATAAAATAAAATAAATAAATGAAATATATTGTATAAAAAAAATATATGCTATAGATAACATAGAAGACTTATAAGATATATATGATTTCTTAGGGATTAACATCATCTATTTGATTATCATTATCTATATTTTCTTCTGTATAATAATATATATAATTTATTTTTCTTTTTCTTTTTTTTTTTAAAAAAAAAATTCATCATTTTTTTTTATATACAAATTGTATTTTTTTTAACTATCTATTTTCCTTTTATTCAAACTTTCACAATATCTTTCTTCCAAGAATTATCAGAAAAAATTTGTAAAATTTTAAATAAATTTAGTTATAGATGTCATATGGTTTTGTTTAGAGAACCAGATAAATTTGAAGCATAGTTAATTAGCAACCAAATTATTGGTTTAGTAAATTATTATAATTCTTTAATCCTTTAAGTAAAATAATTAAACAAGGGCTCATCATCAAATCTCTAATTTGTGAAAAATCAATACTAGGATACGAAAATCAAGTGTATTCAAATTTCTAAATTATAAAAATATACTTTTGAATATATAGATCAGTTATTATTAAGATTAAATTATAAATCACATGATTTATAATATGATTTTATATCTATATAGCTTTAGGGTTGTATATTTCCTTTCACATATGCTTTTAGCATATGCTAACTTAGGTTTTATTAAAATTAATAGATTTTTGTATTTTAAAAAATTAATTATATATTGTCAATGAAGCAATTGACTAATCATTATAAAGTCACATAAATGACACAGTATGATGATCTTCTAATTCAGAGTTCTGAAAATACTGAGAATTCTGCAAATTCTAAAAATACAGAGGATCTATGTAATTCTGCAGATCTTCCAAATACTGAGGATAACTCTAATTTTATGAATTAAATAAAGTCTAGGAATACACAATGTTATACTTATTGTTAATATTCTAATTTTTATTATTATTTTTATTATATTTATATTTTATTATTTTACATATTTTTATTTTACTTATATTTTATTTACAAAATTAGTTAGTTTATAGTATAGTAAATAGTTAGCTATAACAAAAGAAAATTTTGTATAAATAGATAAACTTTTTATTTATGTTGAAAACTAACTCTCTTGCAAATATGAGTTTCAATATTAATAAAGGAATCAATTAAAACTTATATCTTTTGCCTCTTCATATCTTCATATAGTCTGATGTGATCCCTACATATTATTTATAATTGAATTCATCATCTAAATTCTTTAATTAAATTATTCGTAATCTCGTCTTTCAAGTCTTCATATTTGATAAGATTTGTTTAAGTCTAATGTATAAAATTGATAAAGTTAAGAATTAGGCAGATCCTAACATCTTAACTGCAGTAAGCTATAGTTAGAAACTATGAGTAGAGACTTGATAATATGAATATTCTGAGTTGAAGAATTCTACAGTAACAATATTTATTTTATTTATTATTAATTTTAATAAAATCCTATATCTGCTTTTAATCGATATATAACTAAGAATCAAAATAAAGATTTTTGTAAAGATTTATTTTTAAGTTAGCAAAATCAAATTAAAGTATTCCCTAAAGATTTTAATAGAGTTATTAAAACAATATATGATTTAAATATAAATCATAGATTAGATTTAGCTAAAAAATATCTTCATAAATTTGTTACTTACGAAGATATTAAAAAAGAAAAGGACTTTGTTATTATTAATAAAAGTCAATTTGTTCTATTAAAATGTGTTAATAAAATTGTTAGAGGAGTAATTCATAATATTACAAAAAAATATGTTATGAATCATTTTAGGCTTAAAATAAAATTTACTTATAATACACATCCTAAAATTAATTGTAAACAAAAAACACATGCTGATTCAAAAAAATTAATTAGTTATAATTTTCATGCAAATTTTTTAGATTCATTAACCACTGATTTATATGTATATAAAAATAAAAGTCTTGATCCAGAAATACAAAGAATATATAATGAAGATGGAGATAGTTTTAGAGAATAGTTATATAAAAATGCTGAAGATCATGTATCATATTCAGTATTATCATATGAAACATTTAAGCAAAAAGTAAATTTAAATAATGAACAGAAATAGGTGCAGTATTTTATATAAAATACTATGAAGCTGTAGGACATCAGAATAAGGATAGATTAGAATTTGCAATAGGATTTGTTTATGAAATTGATGTAGTTAAAGAAAAGTATTTTATTTATTTTAAATATAGTATTGCTATTAAAATGATATCAAATTTAATATGATGTTGGTTAATGTAAACTATACATAATATAGCTAAACTTAATTTAAGTAAAGGTGACATTTAATAATATACTAGTACAATTACTTTAACTGAAAAATGTTAAAGCAATAGAAAAAAAAGCAGGTATTATGAAAAATTAGATTTTTTAATTAATTTTATAAAAATTTTTATTTTTTTATATATTTTATTAATAAAAAAATTATTAAAATAAAGGTCTAATTTTATTGATTTAATGTTTAATTATTTTATTGATAAAAAAATAATTAACTATATGCATTTCTAATAAAATTTAAAATTTATAATTTAAATTAATAAAATAAATTTCAATTATTAACTATTAATACATTTCAACTATTATAAAGTATTTCAATTATTATAATATATAATTTTATAGTTTAAAATATTAATTTATTAATAATACTATTTCAAGCCAACTTGAGTCAAATCGAGTTTGAATCAAGTTTAAAATAAGTCAAATTAAATATTTAATTAAATTTGAATTTGATATGACTCGCAAATCATCGAGTCAAAAAAATATTAATTTAACTTGATTTAAACTTAACTTAATTCATCTGCTTATGATTTAACTCGATTCATTTAAAACTCTATTGAAAATAATTATCTAGATCATGTGCACAAATCATATGTAATCTGACTAAAAATCTAACTATCATTTTTTTCATAGTGATGTCTAGGGTCATTAATATTATTTACAGAATCACATGATTATAATCAATATTCATGTCACTTTAAATTTAAGTATTAGATAAGTCAATGCTATATAATTTCATCTGTTTGATCTTGATTATTTCTATCTTTACAAACACCTTGTATATATTTCTTACTTTCTGGATTTTCTTATACAAATTTGCTTCTGTAATTCCTGAAAGATGTTGAGAGATTTCACAGTATACTTAATTCTTAGCTATTAGATCAATAACTAATGAATCTTGAGTTCTAATATCCCTGACTCTATTTTTAAATCCTTTAGCATATTTATATCAATACAAAATTTCATCTTGATTTGCTTTTATAATACATAATCCTGTATGAATTATCTTTTGATATAATTGGGCTAAATTTTGTAATACAGATCCATACTATCCTCTTTAAAATCATTATCATTTTCAGCTTTCTCTCTCTTGGCAGACATAAATAACTCTTACAATAGGGTCTAAAATTTTTTTATTCATGAGTGATCTTTAGAGATATCCATCTTCTTGATGAATTTTTTCTTAACTAAGATTTACTTTCTTGCACATTAGTATTATTTCTGTTATTTACATTAGATTGATTCTCTAAGTTAACCTGTGTATTAGTTACACAATTTTATCATTAGAATTAATTTGATTCTCTAGAGTTTTAGAGATATATAAAAGACAAAAATAAGAACTGCTATTACATAAATATATGCAAGAATAGCCAGAGATCTGTGAGTGAATTTTGCTTTGCTTATCTATTATTAATAGAATTAGACTGATTATTAGTATTCTGTAAAATCAGATTAGATCAGATTTTATCTAAATTTGATCTAATCTGATTTTCATTTTTTAGAATCTAAATTTGATCTGAATCTGACAGATCTGTTGAAATTCAGATTTGATCTGAATCCAACAGATCAGTTTAAGTCCAAATCTGATCTAATCTGAATCTGAAAGTATTATTGAAAAAATGAATTTTTAGTTCTAAAAGAAATCTGAAAATGGTTTTTTTCAATGAAAAGAATCTTTTCAGCTCTAAAAGAGTTCTGAAAAGTCATTTCTTTTCATTGAAAGGAACCTTTTCAGCTCTAAAAGAGTTCTGAAAAGTTATTTCTTTTCATTAAAAGGAACCTTTTTGACTCTAATAGAATTCTGAAAAGTCATTTCTTTTTATTGAAAGGAACCTTTTCAGTTCTAAAAGAGATCTGAAAATGTTTCTTTTCAATAAAAGGAACCTTTTCAGCTCTAAAAGAATTCTGAAAAGTCATTCCTTTCAATAAAAGGAACTTTTCAGCTCTAAAAGAGTTCTGAAAATTTATTCCTTTTCAATAAAAAGAACTTTTCAGTTCTAAAAGTGATCTGAAAATTCGTTTCTTTTTAATGAAAGAAAACAAAATTTTGGTTTTAAAGAAGTCTGAAAATTCATCTTTTTTTTATTGAAAAGAAACTTTTTGGCTTTAATTCAGATTCAAATCCAATCTGAATCTGATAGATCAGATCTAAATCTGAATCTGATAAATCTGATCTGATCTGAATCTGAATCTAAATTAGATCTGAATCTGACAGATCTAATCTGAATCTGATCCATCAAATTCAAATTGGATTCAGATCAATCTAATCTGTGTGAAACACTACTAGTTATCATTATTATCCTTTATCATAATTGGGCTTATTATCTGATCTTGCATAGTAACTTGCTTTGATTAATTCCTTTGTCTAGTATGAGAGCCATCTTTTATCAATTCTAGTGAAGTCATAAGCTTCTCATTATTCTGTTCGGTATCAGTTTGTTTTTTCTGAAGATGATATTTTCTAAAGATGAGTACTGTCTCTTCTCTAGTCAGCTCAATGATTATATTATACAAAGGGTATGTAAGAGGTGGTTCAATTTCCATTGCATAATATACTTCTCAAGACATTAACGATAGAAAGGTGTTCACAATCTAACATAACAAATGATTGAAATCAGAATTTTAGAATTACTCTTTGCAAATACTGTAAGGATTGAGTTTTAGAATTCTGGTAAAAATAGTTAAAAGCTCTTGATTTGAAAATAATTTAATGTAAATACTTCAAGTTAGAAGGTTCAAAAGTATCTATTTAAATTTTAGAAGTACTGATCAAAGATTTACTAGCTATAGTAATACTCAAAGGTTTACTAACCATATTAGTAAATTTTAGAGATAAAATAAATGCTCTCATGCATCCTTCATACCCATCTCTTACTTATACAGTTTTCTCTTTGATCTGATCTGCAGGTGAAATAATAGCCTGAAATTAGTATAAATAAATACATCTATTACGCTAAAAGTCTGCAGAAATAATTAAAAATAAAGAAAATCTCTAATTTTTTAACTTATCAATCACAAATTAAGATTTTGTTCTTAAATGCTTACATTAGTATGAGTATAATTAAACTATTAGCATGATTAATTCTTATCAATTCATCTATTACTATTCTGCTATCTATATGTAAAGAGTTAATCAATGTAAGCTTTTTATTTGTAATACATCAGATAAATTATAAGCTAACAATTTTACTTATAATACAGTTGAAAGATACTTTATATATAATAGACTATCCTATTCATTGCATTAGTAAAATAATCTGGATTATTCATAGATAAAATTATTCATCTGTCAGTTAAAAAAATGACCCAGATGATAATTATATATTTACTAAAACTAAATAAATAATTCGCAGATTATGAATCAAATATCTGCAAATGATCAATAGATCGCATGAATAGTAGCAAATCTGCAGATATCTGAATATTTGTGAATAGACCTAATATTATCCAATCTAATTATACGCACATTTTATATTTTATATATTTATTAATTTATTTTAAACTCATTTTCCATTATTATTTATTTTATTATAATTTTATTATAATATTATTATTTATTATAACCAAATTTACATACTAGAATTTTTTGACGAGAATGAATATTTTTAACAATTATTGCATTTTTTTAGTAAAGTATTTTCAAAATAAATTAAAATAATATTACGATCTGAAAAGTCATTGTAATATTTTGAATTTATTATATAGGCACTTTGCAATAGAAAGGGAGGAAACTACTAAAAAAATTTTTTTTTTGCTTTATAAGCTAAATATTATTTTTTTAATAAAATAAGTTCAAATTTAACATTAACTTAAAAAAAAATTTTTTGGTAGTTTCCTTTCTTTCTATTGTAAAGAGCTTATATATAGCTATAGAATTTTCAAAAAATTATTTTATATATGATATTTTAGTCAATTACAAATAAATTTTTTGAAGCTTTTCTTACTATTTCATCACAATTTCTTTATAATAAACTTTTAAATCTTTATATAATTATTTAAATTATTGTAATTATTTATATTATACTTTATTAAATGTTAAAATTCAAATACAAATTATAATAAATTATTACGAATATCTACAGATTTTGATTTAAGAATTGGTATTAATTTATAAATATCTATTAATATTTACAGATAATCTGTAGATAAAATTAACAAATCTGCAGTACTTAAATGTGATCTGGATATTTGTATTATCCAGAAATTTGTGTAATTATTATTCACAGATTGCTTCTCTATATTATGTCTATTCTATTTACTACCTAATAATCTGTTATATTCATTATTTTTCATTTTAACCTTATCGGTCATGATGCTAATGAGAATCTTAAAAAGAAAACTATGTATTAGTTACAAGCTTTGAAGATACTGTCTTGCAAATGCTCAGTCTAAACTGAAAGTAAACCTACCCTTAATTACATAATATTTCGTCTGATATTTCGCTAAGTAACTTTTATTTTACTAGCATTTTTTCACACTGAGATATGCAGTGAGTATTTTGTTATATTTGCTTATTTACATAGTTATAATATTTATATTTACAGGTTGTTTACCTTAAAAAAGGAAAAAAAATTTTTGAATATATATGTGATTTGCATATAATATACAAAGAGTGGACAAAAGTATCCGCATACCTTCTATAACGTGAATTAATGCTAGTAAAGTCATATGACTGCAATAACAAATTGCGTTTATATGACACTTAAGTATTTATTTATATTATAAAAATAAAAAAAATAACAATTTATTTTTTTTTAATAAATTTTTCTTCTTCGAAAATATAAAAAATGATAAAAACTAAAGAATTAACTGCAATAATTTTTCAAGTGAAAAATAATCTTCATATATTATCTTAGCCAGCTTAAAGTCCTGATCTTAATCCAATTGAGAATCTTTGAGCTGAAGTCAAGAAAAGCATCTGAGCTTATAAAAAACCTCTATCTAATTTGACTGATATGTTAAAAAGGCTTGGTAAGAAATTCTGAAGCATACTATCGAAACCTAGTCAATAGTATGTCGCAATGAATTCAAGCTGTGATTACGGAAAATGGTAGCATAACTAAATACTAGTTACTTAGTACAAAATGTAGATCTTAATCCGTTTTAAATAAAATATTAATTGACCATTTATTGTTAATGCAAAAAAATTATAAGTTTTATATTGAGTGAAAAAGTATGCAAATACTTTTGTCTACCCTTTGTAGTTCTATTTTTCAACAAGAATTTTTCCAATATTATACTGTACATTTTAGGTGATCAATTTCATCTATACTATAATTGCAAACTTGAATTTATTACTTAAAGTATTATAGATAAGATAATATTTTAACTTATCTTAGGAATATAACTTTACTAATTTAGAATTATAAGAAAATTGATTCCTATTTTTACAGTATTATAAGCCATATAATTTATAATTTTCATATTTTCTATTGTAAATAGGATATGATGAATTCTACAGCTAAAGTAATATAAAATTATAATAATCAATCCCTTTAAAACTATTTTTGAATTTTAAGTATAGGAAGTATTTTAAAATGAATTTAATAATTAATTTTGGATTGAGTCTGACTTCAAAAGTTATAGGCATTTTTTCTTTAAAAGAAGATAAATAGGATACTTTATTTTTTGATTTTGAATATATAAGAAGACTAGTTTCTGATATATGTACTTCTGATAATTGTCATGGCTCATGTCTAGTTTCTTTTTTATATTTTTTTTATAAGTTAGAATGAATCTTATCTATCAAAATGCTTGGTAATCCACTTAATTTAATATGTCAATCCAAATACTCAGGGTTAATACTTTATCAGATTTGCTCATATTATCTTTTTATATAATCATAAATTAATTTAAATTATGTAATAGATTAATAGTTAACATAATTAGCTCTAAAAAAATATCACATAATGAAGTGTAAGTAAATAGAATATATTATAAAATAATAAGACTATGCAGTTATCTTAATTTCATGCTATTCACACTTAACAAAATAGAATTTAGCCTTATATTTACCTTTTATACTTTTCTTATTATTATGATCTAGTTTGCATAATAAGCATATTTTCTTATTGGTAATTCCATAATAATCAAAATTTTCACTATTAAATTCTTTATATAAAGCAGAATATTAGTTTGATATTTTATTGTGAAAATAGTATAGTGAATCTAATAAACTAAATTTTATATTTTTGTAATTAATTTTTTTTATTTTTAAAGATACAGTAATGTTCATATTTATTATGAAAATTCAAATCCAGTAGGTTAATACATAAAAATCCTAAAAATCAGATATATTTAATAGAAAAAAATAAATTGAACTGCTTAAAACGTTCTTGTAAGTTAAAAATTTATTAGCCTAGACTAACCAATCATCTTATCATATTCTGAAAATAATTATAAAAGAGTTCTCATCAACAAACAACAACTAGATTATTACTACGCTTTTTCTTTTACTTAACAATAATTCCTATTCTAAATTTAAATTTAATATAAAAGCAAGTAATTTGAATTATTGTTAAACTAAAAAAAAGTTAATAAAAAATTCTGATTTTAACAAGTTTTTAGCTAAATTGTCTAATTAATTTCTAGTTACAGTAATCTTCTATTACAAAAACGTTTATATCATTAAGTTCTATTAGAGACTCTTTGGTACTCTCAAACTTCTATACTAATATGTTTATTGATTCAGATTACAACTACTAGCAGTCATTACATAGAGTTTAAATCACACAATTGTAAAAATTAAAAAATCCTATTAAGATCAGCAGGCTTTATAACATCAGATATCTAAAAAAAAATACTTGTTTAGAAAAGTAATGAAAAATCATCACATGAGATTGGTTAATCTAAAATTATTATTGATTCTAATCATCATTTGGGATACTTTCTGATGCTCACTTTTGTAAGCAAAAATAAAAAGGAAAAAAAATGAAAAAATAGCTAAGAGAAGTAACGAAAAAATATTTTAATAAAAGAATATTATCGTTTGAATTAACAAAGACTATTTTTTGGAATAAGAGAGTTTAGGAAAAACAAAGAAAAAAAGAAGTTTAAAAAGGGAGTTTTATTTTTGTTCATAGGCTAAGCTATGGTTACCCTTAAACATACACATTTTTTACATAAAAATTTTTGGTCAAGTGATCGCTAGAAAAAGTTATATATATTTTTGTAATTATTAAATAATTGATAATTATAAATTTTAAAAGTTTAAAAATACTACCATTAGATATATTATAATAAGATAAATTTAAAATTTTTATTTTATTTTTTTATAATTATTAGATTTCAAAATATTTTAAATTTCTAAAAGATTTTAGAAACAATTTTATACTTATAGTTTAAAGAATATATATATTTTTAAGAGTTATTTATAGTAAAATTTTAATATAACAAATATATACAGAATTTCAAATAACATAATAATTATAAGGAAAATATAAGAAATTTTAATATTATAAGAAATTATATATATTATTAATAAAAATGATTAATTGCTAAACCATATGATAAATTTATATATTATAATATGTAAATAAATACATAAATATTAAAAAAATTAGTCAAAGAAAATTAAATGAAAAGTCTTAAGATCATATTTTCTTGATAAATAACTATTGATATATATAGTCAACTCTTGTTATAACGAACTCTATATCCTAAACCTCAACTTCGCTATAAGGCTATAGTGAAGATTTTAAGAGATTTTATTGGCCAATTCGCTATAACAAGAGTATTTTTATTATATTTGTTCAAAAAATTCGTTATATTAAGAGTTCGCTATATCAAGAGTTGACTGTAGTATATTAATTAATAATAAAGTTCCAAATCAAATTATTTCTGATCTGAAAAATTTCAGATTAAATTAGTAATTCTCAGATTAATGATAAATTAGATTAATATATTATTTGACCTAAATTGAGTTAATAGTTTAACCAATCAAAATTATAATATATTAGAATAAATTATTATTTAGTTTAATGATAATAATTATTCAATAAAAAAATAAATTATTTAATAAAAAAAATGATAATATATCATTCTAATTAAATAATAAATTGTTACTTTTAAATAATAATAAATTATTTAATTAGAATAATAATAATAAATTATTTAAGAAGAATAATAACAAATTATTCAAAAAAAAATAATATTAACGTGCAATCTTTTCAGGTTGCAACTGTTAGATGTGATGTCGGAGGGTTGACTCTTTTATAGTTTACATAGTAAAATCTATAATTTTTAAGTTAAATGTTAATTACATTTTTAATACAAGGTGTCATAAAGATGTCTTAGGTAAAAAAGAGTTTATTGATAAATAAACAAACTAAAAGATAAAAATACTAAAATAAGAAATACAAAAAGGAGAATTAATCACAAACAGGAAAGAGTAGCCTTATGCTAAAGGAAGGTTGCACACAGCCATCACTGAACTGATCAGATTGCATCTAGCAATTGATAGTTATCTTTTTCTAATGAATTTAGTCTTCTATATATACATTTAATTTATGTTAAATATATTAACTATATTAACTATATTAACTATATTAAACATATTTAATAATATGGGGTTTATTGTAAACAAATATTTTTATCCTAGATATAAAGTTTTTTAATTGAATGTTTTTTTTTCGCTTCAACATTTGAGATAACATTCATTGTGATTTTTTTACACACAAATTACATTTATAAAATATAATCCAAATTATTTTCTAAATAATTTAATATGATACTTTTCGATTGTAAATTTGATTCACAGAGAGAAATAACTTCGCGATCGAATACCCTACCAAAACTATTACATAGATTTGGTAAAACTTCCTCCACACCAATTTGCTCCTCCTCACCCCTTAATTTACTTAGTTCTTTAGAAATGGACGTCATCTGTTTATTTTCTAATCCACATGGAATTATATGATTAAACCAATTTAAATCTGTATTACAGTTCAATGCAAATCCATGTGAAGTTATGTATCTTTGTACTTGAATTCCTAGAACAAAAATTAATTTATATAAAAATTTTTGATTAAAAAAAATTAAATAAAAAAATTTAATAATTTTACCTATTGCACATATTTTTTCTTGATCGTTCACCCAAACTCCCGTATTCTTGGTGTTTTTGGCTTTTATACCATATTTTATACACGTGTCTATAATCATCCGTTCTATAGCAGCAACATAACATCTTACCGAAAGCTATCATAAAATTATTATGTATAATTTTTTATATATATATCTCTTTATTACTAATTTAATTTAAAATTTTTACCTTATAATTCCGTAAATCCAAAATTGGATATCCAACCAATTGTCCAGGTCCATGAAACGTAATTTGTCCGCCCCTCAAGGTCTATAATAATGATCAAAATTATAAAATCAACAAATTAAAAAAAAACCACCCTTTCGATAATTTACTTCATGATATTCTGCGCCAAATTCTTGTAATCGAAGTCTCTCAAATTCTCCCCTTCCCTTATCTCTTCTACCAGTGGTATAAGTAGGTGGATGCTGTACCAACAACAACAAATCATCCTCCAATTTATTTTCTATTCTACTTTTAACTAAAAATCGTTGAAGGGTTAATGCTTTTATATATGTTACTTGATTTAAATAAATGTACGGAAGAACTAGTGAATTTGAATTTGAAAGTATTACGGGAAAGGTACTTGTCGCTTTTTGGAGCGGATTGAAAAATGTTCTAGGGAACATTATATGATCTACTATATCTGTGAAATAAATTAATGTTAAGATGTTTGTTTTTGTGTAATATGAATTATGTAATAGATTTAACGAGTTTGTTTGCAAATTCACATATTGTTATTTTAATTATTTTTTTACAATTTAAAATCATAAAACCAGATGATTTATGATTTATGCTTTATGTTATATTACTTTATTACTTCATCTCACTTGTTAATATTGTTAATATTAAATTTTTTAAATAAGGTTGATACTATAATATGCATTATTATTAGTATATAAAGTTTATATGTCCTCCTATGACGCGGTTTATAGCCCGCCAATAAAACCATTAGTACTTTACTTCAATTTTGTAATTGTTATTAATGTATAAAGGTTTATGCCATTCGATCCTTATAACTCGGTTTATAATTCGCCATCAATAAAAACCAAATGATAATCTTATTTTTTATCAACGTCTGCCGTAGTTTTCGGTTTTTCCGGGAGTGGATGATGACGTTGTCGGTTACGCTTTATAGGCGGATCAGAATTATCATTTTGTTCGTCGCCTTCTGGACTATGTCTTTTGTCTTTATTACGCCCACGCTTCGAATTATCTTTCATTTCGTCAATTGAATTCCGCCGGTTTTTTGGTTGATCATGATTGTCTGTTCGCGTGACATATCGACTACGCTTTTTAGGTTCGTGTGGATCACGCTGTCTTTCAGGACTTCGCATCCTTTTTGACTTTTTGCGATCTTTTCGTTCAAACCGTTCTTGCCTTTCGGAATGTTTCTCGGCTGATGTGATTCTTGTAGAAATTTCCTCGGCTTTATGTTCTTTCTTCTCCTTTTGTTTATTACGACGACTATATTCGTGACTTGATTCATACTGCGGTAAACTAATAATCAAATCCGCGTCAATAAAACTTTTCAATAAAAAAAATGTTGACTATTATAACTTACTCTTTGGGTTCTGCGGGCAAAGGATCTGTCCAGAAATAATCATGGTCTAATGCCTGAAATGCAGTCAACCGATGTTTTGGATCAAGTACAAGCAATCTATCCATTAGTTCCGCTGCTTGTGATCCATGCCTAGAAAAATATTATTATTAAAAAACGATCGAATGATTCATAAATAATAGGAATTTTTTTACAACCTTTCAAATTCGGAAATCACTCTTCGCGGTAATTCTTTCTCAGGTTCGATCTGCTGATCTGGTGTTCCCAAACCCTTAAAGGTATCAGCTGTTGGTGTTCCACATAATTTATAAATGATCTCTAATTGATGAATATCAGAATGTCCTATAATCAATTAGGATAATAAATAAATTTAGTTACTGGTTTGAAGCTAACGATATTTTATAATTTTCTAAATTGAAAATAACCCATCAGTATTGGTTGCCTTCTTAACATCTCGCCAAAAACGCACCTAGAAACAAAAATGACCAAATTAGCATAACATTAAACGAGTAAGAGCCACGAAAGAAATCAAGGAATAATCAATTACTTGCCCAATTGCCCACATATCAATTGCGATTGAATAATGTTTTGCACCGAGTAATAATTCCGGTGACCTATACCACCGCGTTACCACACATCCAGTTAATGATTTGTCATTTATTATCGGACGTGAAAGACCAAAATCTGCAATCTTAAGAATGCCGTTATTGTCAATTAATAAATTGGCAGCTAAAAAAATTATATTAGGTTAGGAAAATATAATTAAAAAATCTTGTTTTTTGGAAAAAAAAATTGAAACAACAAACCTTTTAGATCGCGATGTAATATTTTTTGCTGATTAAAGGATTTCATTTAAAATATATTTCAAGATTTAATTATTGTATTCCACAAAAGAGTATAACTACATACTTGATGAAGGTAGAAGGTTCCTTCCAATAATTGCTTTAAATAACATTTGATTTGTGAAGGAGCGAATTGAACATCTTTATTCTCTAGAAGACCAGCTAGATCATGGTCCATATAAGGGAATACCATATATATCGAAGGCTGATCTTCCTTATCACCTTATAAATAAATAATTTTAAGATTTGTTACAAGTTATAATCGACTTGATATATAAATCTTTTTACCATATTCAAACGCCATATCACTCAGCGTGACAACGTTCGTATGACTAAGTTGCCGGAGAATCTTTATTTCTCTGATCGCAGTAATTGGAATACCTTCTTTTTCATTATGCATCAAGATTCTCTTCAAAGCAACAATATTCTTAGACTTTTTATGAACACCCTTGTGAACCTCACTATCATGTTGATGTTTTAAGAAAATAACAATAAATGATGTAACATGACAATAAGAATGTATTACACGTAAAGATTTTGATTAACAATTGCACAGATTTATATACCCAAATGTTCCCTCGCCAAGTTTGTCTTTTATCTCATAGTCAGTTATCGAAGAACATCCTACAAATGTGTGCTCACTAAAAAAAGAAATTTAAAAAAAAAAAAATGAGAAAAAGAATAACGAACTTATAAGAGCGATCGAAATATGTGATTTCATACGGATAAAAGTTATGGGGTGGACTATACGACTGAACATTCTTCGGAGTTTTGATTCTGTAGGGAGAACCTGCGGGAGTGACAAGACTATAACCTCCATTATCATCACTATAAATCCCTTGAACTTCGTTTCCAGAATCAAAATCATTTAAAAAATGCCCTTCCTGCGACGAGGATCTTGAAGGTATTACATCTACTGGACTAACTGGATGCTCTTTTGGCCTGCAAGCAGGAGGCGACGGAGATACTGATAAGTTTAAAGCGTCGTTTGTTGTCATTGTGCGTTATTTGTTTTTTATTGAAAGGCTTTAGTTAGGAGGTTAAAAACAACTCTATATTTCAGAGCTTCATTGAGAGATGCGAAATTTTAGTTTAATGTTGTGTAACAACATTCTTGATCAGTCGGAATTTTTAAATTGGATGATAATCCAGCTTACGTGAACTTTATATTTTAAATCCAAATCAGGTAATTACTAGAATTATAACAATAGCCTCATCTTTGGTGGTTGGTTCACTTGGTATACGAAATTGCGCGACTTAATATTTTTTTTTATCAAATTATAACGTTCTCACATTCGATTATATCACTAATTAACCTTATTTCTGAATAAGATATATAAATATTTGTCAAATATATATTATATATTATTATTATTAATATTAAGTATAATCCTATTATTATTAATAAATAGCTTTAAATAATTTTTATAAAATAAGTTTAAAGCGCATATATTAATCAAAATCAAAATTTAGACATGATAAATCAATCAATTGAATTCAACCTAAATTTAATCTAAAATTAAATATTATTAAAAATCAGTCAAAATTTGACTTATATAATTTATAGCTAATTGGTATAATCAAATTAAATTGATAAATCTAAATATCACTAATTTTTATCAAAAAATATAACTGATATATTTCAAATTACTATTGTTGATCATTTGTATTATATTATTTGTTTATTTATATTGAAATTATAGCAAAAATTTCTCTTTTATACAAATTTATTTTTAATAATTTGATATTTCAGTTCAAAAAAATCACTTTTGAATAATTTAAATAAAATTATTTAGCAAATCTAAAATTACTTGAATAAATTTTATTAAAATTAGTTTAGTATTTATAAAATAAATCAATTTTTGTAAAATAATAATATACAAATTAACTTTTTTATTATTTTAACTAATTTTAGTATTTCATTTCAAAAAAATCATCATTGGTAATTTAAATAAAGTTGTTAATAGGTTTAATTACTTAAATCTTAATTTTTATAAAAATTAAATTAATATTAATAAAGTAAATAATATTATTGTTTAAAGTATAGTGAAGAACAATCAAATACTAGGTATATCAAATGTAAAGTTATTTTGTCTTACATATTAATTACTTAATAGATTCTGTATTACTAATATTATATTATATGTATTTTACAAAAATTAAATACTAAAAAATTGAACATAAATTAATAAATTATGATTATTATTAAAAATTATAGCTGAAATTATACTTTAGATTAGAATAGTTACCATTCTTTAGTTTATATACAAATATTATTTAATACAGTCATATCTTTATATCTTTATATAGTTATCCTTTATATAAGTATATTATATATATAATTACATATTTAAAATTTTAAATAAGTTTAATTATAAAAAAAGTTTCTTTTTATGATACATTTCACCTATTTTTAAAATAAATTACGTGATTAAATTTGTAAATACTTTTTAAATATATAATTATAAAAAAATAAAACTAATAAAATGAAAGTTTATAATATAAGCTATAAAACTACTAGTTTTTTTTTAATTTTATTATAAACTTTTATAACTATTAATATTTAAGTTTAAGCATTTATATAGAAAGTAGCATAATTTCAGACTATTAAAATTTCATAAATTATCATAAATTTTCAATGTATTTAATAAATTATATAAAAAGATTATTGTTTAATTAATTTTTTGATGTACCTTCTTTCTAAAAAAATGTCTTCATAAAAATCAATTACGTAAAAATAATGGAAGATTTAGTACTTTAAAGAAAATTTCTATAATTTTGGATTGGAAAAGGAATCTGAAATTGAAGAAGTAGCTGATAATTAGAAAATGAATAAGATAGTAGTTGGAAAGATGAAAATTAGGTGAATGAAGGAACTTTATAAGATGTGTGATAAGTTTAATAAATTTAGTTTAAAAGAATAATGCAGTATTGAAGAAGTAGCTAATAATTAGAAAATGAATAAGATAGTAGTTGGAAAGATGAAAATTAGGTGAATGAAGGAACTTTATAAGATGTGTGAGAAGTTTAATAAATTTAGTTTAGAAGAATAATGCAGTATTAAATAAATAAAAGTGTGGGTTTTTTCTTATTAGGCTAATAAAAAAGTCTATATATTATGACAAGTGGTGTCTGAATAGTACTTATACTATTGCTATAAATAACACAAAAAATATAACTGAATATTTTTTTTTCTATAAAGGATTCTGATAATAATATTTTTTTTTTAGATACAGCTAACAAAATTTTTGAATTTTTAAATAATAGAAATGAAGAGGATGATTAAATATTTAAAAATGCTTTGCAAAAAAATTACAATATTAAAAATTGAATTAAAAAAATCTCATAAGAAAAATGTCTATTATTAAATACAGTAAAAAAGAGCAATCTTTGAATATCTTCAAAGATTAGATGAAAATGATAAAGGAAAAATAGATGTAAGTATGAAAGTTGCTAAATAGTGTTTATTAATACTGGTTCTTATAAAATAATAATGATCTATAAATAGGTAGAATATTGATTAAAAATGTGTTATATTTCTCCTGTATATCATGAAAAATATCAAAAAACAGTATGATTAATTGGTAATGAGAATATAATTAATAGATATAAAGTTTAGATTCAAATATAAAGTAATAGAGTTACTTCAAAAACTTTAAAGATTTTATTAAAAATATACTTCTTATTAAATTTGATATTATTAAAAAAACTATTTCATCTATAAAAGCTATCTGATAGCTAATATTCTTAGATTTTTTATCAATAATATCATTAAAGTATATATTATAATAAATACAAATACAAAGAAATAATAACTTATTAAGAAAAATTTCTTAAAACAATTTCTTATTATGAAACCTATATGGTAAAATATAATGAAAATGATATAAAGTGTATTCCTTCTAAATTAAAAAGATAGTGAAAAAGAATATATCTTAATTACTTATGATGAATACATTTTTTATACTAAGATGATAAAAGAGGAGTTTAGGCTCCAAATGGTGAATTACCATTATGAAAAAAGAGAATAGAAGATTAATTATAATTAGTGAATTTCTTTCTGAAACTTGTAAGTGTTTATATTTAAATTAAAAAAATATATTAAAATATTCAACTATATCAAATGAAGTACAAGTAATGCTCTGAACGGTTCAGTTCGGTCTGGATTATAGGCCAATCCGAAACCGAACCGAAAATTCTGGTTCAGTTCAGTTCAGATTATAAATCTTAAAAATGCCAATCCAAAATCGAACCGAACCGTAAACTGGTAAAAATCCGAACTGAACCAAAAATTTTAGATTAATCCGAAAGTTTAGTTTGATATATTCGAATTTCAAAGGGAACTTAATGTGCGATTCTCTAAAGAGTTTCGCAATTACTTTGCGATTCCCTTAGAGTTTTACAAGTAATTTGCGATCCTCTTAGAGTTTCACTATTACTTTGCGATTCCCTTAGAGTTTCGCAAGTAATTTGCGATTCTCTTAGAGTTTCGCAATTACTTTGCGATTCCCTTGGA